CCCCCCCCCCCCCCCTGCGGCCTTCGGCCTCCCTAGCGAGACAGCGCCAGCGCACAGCCCACAGAGATCATGGAAGACCTACCCACCCCAGACATCGAGGCCTACGTTGGTGGCAACCAGCAAGCTTGCTACGTACAGCTAGTTGACGTTCTCTCGGCTTTGCCTGCCGGGGAAGAAAACACGGATGTCGGACGAGCGTTCGCCTTTGAGGTCCCTTCGAAAGTCGGAGCTCGCTACTGCTCGCATCTATCGGCGCCTGAACCGCTTGAAGACATGAGCCACGCGAAGCGCAAGAAGGCAGCTGCCGACCACCCGGGCCTTTGCGGCGTCTACCACGCTCATATCATCGCGGCAGTGAGGACGCAGGACGTGGCCGAGAAATGGAATCAAACGACAGGGAACAAGTACCGCAATCAGGTGCGTGCATGTTGCTATCGGAGTTGCGACGTTGCGACAGCATGTAAAGCCCTGCTTGCCCACCATGTTCGCACCTGTGTAGTATTACATACTACATGCTCTCGTTTACATCGCCAGCAAAACGCCAAATGACAGCATCTACATGTATAGACTACGTGTTTAGGTTGCACACGCTCCGCATAATTGGTGTATTTTTTGTATGCGAGGACTGGTGCGCTACAACACAGCAGCTGCAGCAGCAGCTGTTTATAGGCTAGTACCACACATCGACTCCGGAGCTTTGCTGTACTGCTTATGGCTGCCCCCGAAAGAAAGGCTGCCTGTTGCCGGGGTTGAGAAACACATGTGTGTTGATATGTGCAGCATATCCACTGAGCGTACAGCATATCCACTGAGCTAACAGTCAGCGCTGACTGTAAGCTCAGTGGATATGCTGTACATCTCAACAATGTGCTTGTACTTTTGCGCGAGACCTAACAGACAGACCCGTGATGTGTTACGTTTGCTTCATAATGCCTCCAGGCGTGCTACAACGGGGCCGAGGGCGCGGCGCGGGGCTTTTGAAGGCAGTCCACTAGTTGCCCATTTTGTCGACTGCTTCGTTTGTCATGGTTGGTCGGCGAACATGAAGAAGGACGTTAGTTGGTGCGTCTATGGCGGTAGGGTTGTGCGGGATGTGGAAGGCGCCCCTGCCTTCGAGGAGTGTGTGCAAGGGCCTACCGTGTGCGTTAGGGTTGATATCGTATGCCTGTGCTCTGAGTTTTGCAGGTCTGTGCTTTTTGGTTTTGAAGCATTCCGCCCGAGCAACGCGTCTTTTGCGGAGAGGTTGCGGAGCGGGGGAGGGGGGACAGGGGGGCACGGGATATAAGTCAAAGGCCGAAAAGACGGTTGCGTGTTTGGCACCTGTGCACACTTGCTGAAAAAAAAAATATCGCTTGAATGCCAAACGCCATGAAGCCTGAGCGGGCTACAGCGGGGGTGATCCTTCCCTGTCTGTATTCGACACAAAACGTTGCCACGCCGCACACGCGCAAACCATGAGGCCGTGTCACCGAAGGCCGTGCTTCAACAGAGTACATGTATAGATTTTTTTTTTTTGAAATCAACCCAACCACATCACGGAGGCAACGGTGGCAGCAATCCCCATTGTGTTTGGCACTGTATATTGTCCACGTGTAGTCAAACGTGGTTGCTCGCTTGGGCGAGAAGGAACAAACGTACTGCAGGTCGACATGCACCTCCCACCAAAATATACCTCCCGCCATCCACCTCCACCAAAAAAAAAAAAAAGCAACACGGCGGCTGTGACATCCTCGAATGCAGCACACCGGCAACAAACTCGAAATGTACCCCCAACCACAAAGGCAAATCAAGGCAAACACACCAACACGAGAAATCTGGTGTACCGATTGTAAGAACTTTCGACAACAAACCCACTTATCGCAAGCCCCCAGGCCTCTTGCCCCTCGTCAAAAAAAAAAAAAAAGGGCCACCTGGCGGCCAACCCAAAGAACGGCGTCGAAGGGGCGCTGACTACATTGTTACCCCCAAAAATTACAAGAGCGGAACCACCTTCCAGTCAACTGGTTTGAAGTTTTTCTCTTTGTTGGCGGCCGCGGCTGCCGCAATGTGCGCCGTGGGTGTGTTGTTGCACTTTTTGCAAAGGTGCATTGCTCTCGCCTTTCCTTTAGAATCGGAGCATACGTTACACCAACAGACACCGGACGTGCGCGTGGCGCTGTACCTACCATTGCCCGTTGGCTTAGAGCAAACGCCACCAGAGCAAACACGAGGCGATTTAGCGCCCTTGCTGTCGTACGACTGCACGACGGGAGTCGTACGCCTGGCGCCTGAGTTTAGG